CCTGCAGGTCAGATCTGGCCCTCCAAGTCACCAGATTCAACCCATGGAGGTAGCCCACCCCCAACACAATCCCATTGGCCAGTTTCTTGCCAGAAACCAGCCAATTAGAGCTGTATTTGTGAATAACACACAGCCAAGAAGAACCACGCCCCCCTCTCCTCCGCTCAGTTATTCAATGAAGCACATGGCCAGGCAGGCTGGCTGGCTGGGAAACGTTTTAAGCTCTGCAAGCCTTAGCTCTGCAGGCAGGCAGGCTAGTTTGGCTGCTGGCTGTTGGCTGATAAGTCTCCTGGCCAGAGCCTGCCTCTGGCACCCCAGCCCCTTCCTGCCCCAACCCTAATCAACATACCCAAATCCTCCATCCTCCTGCTACACCCATACCCCCTCCCAGATCTGCCACCCCAATCTCTTACCCCAGATCACAATCCCTTCTACCCTAGGTCATATCCCAAATCCCTGCACTACAGTCCCCTGCCCTAGGTCACAATCGCCTCCTTCATCCAAACTCCTCCCAGACTCCAGTCTCCCTCCTGCACCCCAGTCCGTTACCACAAGCTTCCCTCCGTACCCAACCTGCATCCCAGACCCTGCATCTCCTCCATTAATATCATGGAAGAGTGTGGCCCTTGACCACTTTCCAAAACCTTGAAGTGGCCCCCATCAAAAATTATTGCCCACTCCTGCTCTAAAGCAATTGCTGATGTATACACAAATCTAAGGTAAAATTCTCAAAAACATCTAATACCCTAATTCCCATTTTCAACAATGACATGAACATTTTAGAACTACTCAGTGACCCGAGAAGTTGTGTCCCATTTTCAAGAGTGATTTTAGAATTTAATTTAGGACCTTAAATGCTTTTGACTTTATATAAGATTGAGGGAAACCTTCTCCAGGTCACCTCTGTGATGTGGTGCTCAGTTTGGAAAGCAGGAAACTCGAAAAAATGGCCTGTGGGGCTAAGGGTGAGGTAGGTGTGGGCCAATACCAGCCTCTGGGCCTCACATGATGCACCAGGATTAACCTCCACTGGGCCCCCATACCGCTATATTTTCCTGCACCTCTGCAGGTATGGGGGAATCCAAGCTCCCGTTGGCTGCAATTGCACCTTCTCGCCCATACCACAGCAGAACTGCTGGGATCTACTGGTAGATCTTGGAGCCTCTGACAGGTAATCCTAACAGGTTTGGCCAAGAAGTTGTCAACCCACTGCTGCTCATCTCCTGCCCTTTCACTTGCCCTGCCCCCTGGGGAGCCTCCTGCTTGCTGTACCGGGCAGGGGAGTGAGAGGAGGGGCACTGATATCAAGGTGCCTCCTCCCACCCTGTATCTTTTCTCCACAAAGCAGAGAGGGGGCACAACAGGACTTGGGAGGGAGTTTGGTGGCTGCTTTAGGGAGTGGTGCAGGGCCAGGGTACGAGTAAGCCTGACTTAGCCCCACTGCACCACCACCCAGGAGCCACCCCAGGTAAGCAATGCCCAGCTGGAGCCCACATCCTGTTCTCCTCCTCCAGTCATGAACCCCCTCCTGTACTCCAAGCCTCTGCCCCAGGCCCAGCCCCAAGTACCCCTCCATCCAAACGCTGTGCCAGAGCCTGCACCTAGAACCCCTCCGGCACCCCAACTGCCTGCCCCAAGCTCAGCTCAGAGCCCCTCTCACACTCCAGATCCCTTAACCTAAGACCAGAGCCTGCACCCCAATGTGAGTGAGAATGGGCATGAGAGGTAGGATGAAGTGAGCATGGGGCAGGGAAGGGTGGGAGGGAGGTGAAGCAAAGGTATTTAGATTTGATTTAGATCTGGGGTTGCATTTAAATTAAAAACGCGATCTCGTGCTTAAAAGGTTGGAGACCACTGGATTAGGGGCATACCTTAACCTAAGACCAGAGCCTGCACCCCAATGTGAGTGAGAATGGGCATGAGAGGTAGGATGAAGTGAGCATGGGGCAGGGAAGGGTGGGAGGGAGGTGAAGCAAAGGTATTTAGATTTGATTTAGATCTGGGGTTGCATTTAAATTAAAAACGCGATCTCGTGCTTAAAAGGTTGGAGACCACTGGATTAGGGGCATAGAGGCGGGTGCAGAAGCTAGCCATGAAGGGTGCAGGGACTAAAGAGCAGGAGGGGGAACAGAGCTGTGTGTGTGGGGGGGTGCTGCGAGCTGTCGGTCACCGGTGGGAGCAGCACCGTCCCTACAGGAATGAGCTGGCAGTAGGTACGTGGCAGGGGGCGGAGGAGCCGAACTGGGCCAGGAAGGAAGGGAGGCGCCACTAGGCAGGGCAGGATGGATTCGCTCCGCTCTCCTGCCCTCTTCTCTCGGCACAAACTGCGGGGGACTGGCTCTGACAACCAGCCGGGGGGCTCCGCTTGTGGGGCGGGTGCAATCCGGCCCCAGAGCAGGTGTGACCCAGGGGCTGGGCCCCGCGACACACTGGGGGCGGTGGGGCGCCGGGTTATATCACAGCAAAACGGG